CCTCGGTGATTTCACTTCTATCCAATCTGTTTCCTGTTTCTCGAAGCGCGTTTCTTCTCTTTCCTTAGAATCTATGAGCTCATGCGCACACTCAATAAAATCTCGATCTCTTGGCAGTGAACCGGGACGATCCACGTAGTGATTCAGTTGTACCTTCAAAATTCCTTTCAAGAATTCTAGTTTCTGTGCTCCCTCCGCTTGACCGTAGGTTTCTACCATTTTCTCTGTCAATTTATTGTATTGAATTAGGAGTTTTTCTGCAAAAACGCCTTCTGATTGGCCCTGGTTTCGTCGCTCCTTAAATAGATAAAACACGTCTTCTTCTGGGGTCCATCTTCCTCCACCGTACAGTTTCTTTAGTTTTACTTTCAAGGAGTCCCAGGAACATGTTAGATCGCCTTGGATGGCGTTTAATACTCGTCTCGAGATACGCCCGACTAAGGATGCCTCTAGTAATTTAACATCAGACTCTATTAATGTGCCAGCTTCATGCCGGGATAATATCAAGGCTTTAATTTGGTCTGCTCTCTTAATAAAATGTTCGAGGTCTCCTACTGTTCCAGTAAATGGTTCTAACTGACCAATTACTTCGTGTATAAATGTAGAATTTTGTGTTCTAATTTTCAACAATTCTAATTGCGTCGTCTCTGCCGCGATAGATACTTGTGATTCTAATTTCGCTAGTTCCGCTACAGCCTTAGCCAACTGATGCTCCAACTTGCTTATCTGCTCAGATTCTCCCATATTTATGCAATTCCACTAATAGTTCGTATAAAATTGGTACTCACAGTTTCAAATTTCGCACCAGCCAACTGCTAAAGTGATGTTGAAGTAATTTCCTTAGTTTCGGCACCAGTTATGATTATTAGTATGAGAAAGATTGAATCAATATTAGCAATGAGATTTTATAACTTTTTTATTGCAGGTTAACCTTATCAAACAAAAACAAACAATATCAATAATCGATCACATGTTAATATATCTTAAAACTAAAACATATTTTATATTATGCTAACTTATTTACTCAGTCCCACATTATATATATATATATATATATATATATATATATATATATATATATATATATATATATTCTTATTGTTTCTTCTCTCTTAGTGTCACAAATATTATTAGGTTCCCGAATTCCCAACAACAGTTAAATACCCTCAAAAAGTCTATATCCAGTGCCGGGGTTTTGTTTTAATATTCACGAGTGTAAATAACCTAGCCCCCGATAAAACGGATAGAATATTTAATTCCCACCAAAAAAGAATATTAACATTTAAATCTTTAACATGTTATTTACATTCTCTTCAATTATTCACTACAGTCAACCATCAACCCACAATTATGTTTATTATAATACATCCCAGATAATGAGAAAACAAGAAATAAAAGCTTAACAACAGTTAATTGTAATCATTTTTGCTACAATTGTATTATTATATTTCAAAATAGATATTCATTTTTTATTAATTGTATGACATAAAATCATTTGGGTGGATTTACATTGATTAGGTGTTTTGATAGATATTTATTAGATTATTTTAAATTATTTCAATTTTCTGAAGTGAGCTGAATTCTTCAATTCAACAAATTAATTAGAAGCACATTATCAAACTATTGGAAGCAAACGTTAGATCCACAATTAAAATTGTTTCTCTTAGTTTAAACCGATTGTCTTCACTAATATCTTAAATGTATCTTTACAGTAGTGTAAGTTCCTTGGAATGTGGAAACTATTAAGTCAAGGCCTGGGATACCCTCAGATTATCGGCTGATTACTCTGTTGTCCATTGTGTTAAAAATCCTGGAGAGGTTTATCAAGGGAGATTTTTGGAAGATTATGAAATATCTCCATATCAATCAGGTTTGAGACAAGGAGCTGTGCATGAACTATACGCCACACAGTCCTAGTGTATAGAGGAATGGATGAACATACGGTTATTATACTTATTTCATTGGATCTTATCTGAGCATTTGACTCATCTATTTCCTTTCAAGGTGAATATTTTTTTTTTTTTTTTTTTTGCCAAAGTTAAGAAGAAAACTTATTTCCCAATAATTCTTTCTCTAGTGTGAAACTGTGACTTGGTCTGCATTGATATATCAGGATCAGAAGACATAAAAATTCAAAGGGCTCTCCATACAGCCATCTGTTTCATTAAAAAAACAACTTGTACCATTACAACCCATAGAGGATGTTAGGTTCTGTACTATTAAGGGAAAATACTGTTTCTTGGTCAAAGATTATGCAAGAAGGTAAATTGACCGAGATCATGCTCAATCGCCAGATATCTGTTTCATATTCTGCAATAAAAGGCGTGATCATATCATGTCATATATAAATGAGTTAAACTGGTTATGAAATAAATAATATCAGAAGTTCAACTGTATGTGCCTTGCAAGACAAGTTTTAGACTCCTGGGCTCCTGAGAATTGAAGGAAAGGATTCTTGGAAGTACATAGTGAGAGATTTCAGGAAAGATTCCAGCTCACACCTTGTTGAATATAAATTTTGATAAATGCTTTCCACGCAGCAGCAGCAGCAGCAAGAAAGCTCATCCAGCAGAGATGAGGCAGGCATCCTTCCTCCACAAGGCTTACTTCAGATGATTTCTAGATGCTGACCACTCAAGCGCAATTTAAAGATTTCAATATTACTCTCTTCTCTCCCTGCACATTCTATTGTTTATTTATAATCCCTTTTTTGTGTGTGTGTGGCTCTCATCTCTTAGGTCTAATTGTTTGTTTTGTTTTTTCGTTCACTTTACTGAAAAAAATTAAAACAGTAGCATAATAAATTTTGGTATTGTGAATCTAATAAGTGTAGTAAAAGTTAAAAGAATATTTATATTATCAAATGTGTCATAACTACTTTAAAACAAAGATTTATCTATGGACTTGATTGATTATTTAGTTATTACTAGAAGCATATAAATCCATAAATTTCCAAATACTACTCTTCATTATTGTTTTAAGTAATATGCACCGCATTTATTACAAATGGTCTATCATACAGGAACCAAAACCTAATGGGCTTTTCAGGCTTTTTCACAAAAATTTCTACCACAGACTGATATAAGACACTGAAATCTTATAGAACTATGAATTTCAATTAAATAATAATTATAATGTATTTCACAGGCTACGTTTAATAACAGCCCTTATTTAAGAAAATTATAAAAGAAAATAGAAATCATACATATAAATGTTCTTATTTAAAAAATTGTGTCCTTACATGTTTTTATTTCTATTTGTCACTATTTATGATTAAGTTTTATGTTGATTAAATTACCTATTTATTAATTTCCTAATTTAGTGGACACATTTAAAAAATATAACATTTATATTGTTTGGTTTGTCACTTCAGAGAGAAAATATGCATATATCTCTGTTACAGTATGATATTATTAATTATCTTATTTATTTTATGTTTACTTTCACTTACCTATGTATGTATTATATAGTAAGGGAAAGTATCGCGATCATGAAAATTTTCGAATCCGAGTTTTCAACAAAAATACACGTTTTGAGGTCCCCTGAGTCCAAATAACCAAGTCCCGCAAAATGGTCAGTGTGTCTATGTATATGTTATCAGTCCAGCTCAAAAACAAACAGTCCTAAAAAAGTAAAATTGCATATTTAAGATTTGTATATGCCTGAGATGTTACAGCAACATTTTTGTCAAAATTGGCTAACCGGAAGTGCCACTATAAATCAACGGGGATACACATTTTTACAATTTTTTCAAAAATGGCTCTAACGATTATGATTAAACTCAATTTATCATTGTATAATTAAGTGGTCTTTAATATCATTTAGATCTTATCCCCAGTGATGTCACTTTACAAGGCCTAAATACCAAATGTTCAACACGTCTAAAGTACCTTTAATTTAGTTTATTGTAAATAATTAACCATCTTTCATTATTAGGAGTTATGCAAAAAGGCTGATTATAACTTTTGAAAGAATTTGATCATTGAATAAAGGAGGAAAAAAAAAAAATGCTTACCCTGGTCGAAAATGAACCTCCGGGAATAATAGTCAGAACGTATACGTATAATATATATCGTTGGAAAGCGGAGAATTTCAGAAAAATAATATCTAATTTTAAAGTTGTAGAAGGTAATGGAGCGTGACAAAAAAAAAATGCAAATAATAATTTTTGATAACTAGCATTATTTAACGTAAATCGCATGTTTCCAAGAAAATTAAATGAAATTTTTTTAGTAAATGTAAACTTTCAAGTTTGAAAAAGTATTTAAAACCCACCGAATCAAGGCAATGATATTGTTTAATATACTATTTCATGGATATGTTTATAACCTTAAAAACATTTACTGTAATTTAATAACTCTAGATTTGATATTATATCTAAATAATCAGATATCTATCTTCCACTAATTCTGAAAAATCATCATGTAAACTTTTAGAAAATTAAATTAGTGAATAATATGATTAATTTTTCCTTTGTGATATCCCAACAGGATCCAATTACAATTAGTGTGACAACTTTTGACGTATCTATGACATGCAATGTAAATCTCGTCATTCAATTTTAGTAAACTTTGCAATGGATAATAACAGTTTATTAACTGATAGTGGTACAACTCATAACCAACGGATTGCATAATGTGAATTTTGTTATTTTAATTGTATTAATGATTTGTTAGTTGTAAGCTTGAAGCTTTAGCTCAGTTAAAAATGCACTTCAAAAATTTTATAATAGCCCAACATTGCCAGAAAATTATTTATATTCAAAGTACAGTGGTGAGTGAAAGTTGTGTGTTGCACGCACCAGAATTTTTTTAGTTTTAAATTACTGTAAAAAAATAATTTAATTTTATATCAGTGTTGTTTATTAATTATTTTTTATTGCAGGCTATTTTATTTCTAATTTCATGCTGAATTTGAGCAAGTCTAATATTTATTAATTTTTTTATTTGATGAGTAGAACAATGTGTCTTACTAAATAATTATTGTGTATATATTTTAAGGTGTAAGTGCACGGAGAGCTGTACCACCTCCAAGACCATCTGTAACTCCTCCAGCTCTACCGAGAACTCCTGACGATCTTATTCATGACATGTCTAAGGTTAAATTTTATTTTAAACTATTTATGGAGAATCATGTAGATTGTGTTTTAAATAATTTCTAATTACAGTTCATAAAATTAATTATCAATTATTAAAATTACAGCTCTGGATAGAAAATAAACTTCAAATTGCTTTTATTTAAAAATCACTAATTTTTCTCTATAGATTTGGAAGAAAAAATATTTGTATTCTCAAAGTAATTTAATCTAATTACATTCTGCTTTGAAATGGATTAGGGTTATCTAGTTATGAATAAGTTTATTTACTTGAGTTCTGTGATAAAATAATATCTAACTGATATTTGATAAATAAAAGTCAATAATTATTTTAATATAAGTTTTAACGATGTTTTAAATTTAAATTATATTTCCAAAGGAGTCAAAATTATCAATTACTCTAAATCCCCCTCTCCTCCAATCATTTCTGTACACCTGTAAAATATTCTCCATGAAGAAACAGTACCTAAATCTTGGTAGTGTTTATTCTCTTGGAATTTATTCTCTTATCTCAATAACATCATGTTTTACTTTTTTTTTTTTGCTCTATTCCAGCCATTTCTGGTGTAAAGAGTATCTGTAGTAGTATGGTAATATATTGGGTTGTATACTGTCAATAATCAACGCTATTTAAATTTCATATTTTAGAAACTCCAAATGTCGGAACATTAAAAAATGGAGTAAACTGTGTTGGGTCACGGTATGCAGTTGTGCACCTTATCCACTGCCGGATTGCATGGCCAGCACTCCAGGCGCTCTGCATTCCGTATCTGTTTGTTTTCTGGTCCTCCCATTTCTTCTTCCTAGTACTGTTTTCTCATTGGATGATGGTTCACTGATGTTAGTGGGTGGGACTTTTCCAAGGCCCACCACTTTCTTTCACCCATAAACAGACTTCTGGAAGAAGAGGTAATTTGTCTCCTTCTACAGATGGGAGAAGTCAAACTCGGCAAAACATCTTGGTTTTCCTCTACAACTTAAATTGTATCCTTCCATTGTAATGCATGCAACTACCTTCTCTGGGATTTCATGAGTGGGATACCAAAAGTCAATATCCTTGCAATGTGCTTGTAGCTTCCTCTCTGAAATTATGTTTTAAATCTAATCATAGAGTTTCATATATATCTATATATATATATATATATATATATATATATATATATATATATATATATATATATATATATATATATTGTAATGTCAACATTACATAGGTATTTTAATATTGGCGCGAAAAGGTAACAGCACGAACTACTGAGAGGAAGTGCGTGCAGATGGTGGGGAAAGCCTCATGTAATGTCAGAAGTTGACCAGCCAGCAAGTCGAGAAGATCCCAAAAGGAGTCCTAGCCTGTCCGAGTGTAGATAGAGGCCACTAGTGGTTATTACTTAGTGTTGGAAGAATTAATTCAGTGGTACCGAAAACGGAACATTCATAAGTAAGATTAATTTATTTCACAGACAGTAAATATTTGAGTGAGTGCCAACAATGCCATTTATATTGACAGAGGGATAGAGCCACAAAGTTTAGACCAGGACAATCAGATGAGTCTTTAGGATGAGTGTTTAGTTGTCAGAACCTAACCTGAAAATTTATATCTATGTGTAAAAATAAATGGTATATTGAAAAAGAAACTCGTTTGATATATCTATATATATATGTAATATTAATAATAACTAATTATTGACTTTTTCAGGAAACAAGCGGTCTAATGGGTAGCCCTAGACATTCAATAGCATCCAACAACAGCAGCAATCCAAGCACTCCACCAAGTCCCGGTCGAGGTTCTTCAAGTTACGATTCATAGTTGCAAGCTGATCTGTTTATATCATGGAAGCTTTTGTAAATTAAGTTTGTATAATTTTAATTTATTAAATTTATTTTTAAATTAACAATACTTCGTTGTTTTAAGAATTAACGTAAAAAAGCATTAGATTCAACAGTTTTATTTACTGTAGATCATCAGAACAAAAAAAAAAATTTTTTATGTTTTTTTAAAAGATGTTCATATAAATTTTGTAGAATAGTTGCACATACGTTTTAGTACCTAAGCTTACCAATTACCTGAAACTAGAAAAATAAATTGTATATATAAATTATATTTATTAGTGCTTTGATTATATTGAAGTATAAAGAAATTAAATTTGTTTTATTATATTTATTATTTTATAATTTTTTTTGTATTTATGTTATATAATTTTATGTAAATTTCTATTTTAGCTAATGTAATGATTTAATACTCATTAAATTTAGGAATATTTCCTTACTAATTGTGTTACCATACGAGTAATAGAGTAATTATGAATAAAACGGCTGTTATAAGAATTTGATGAAATGGTTGTATATAAATACTAATAACTTCCACTTCATTTAATTTACATAATACTAATTATTTACTTACTCCAATTAAAAATATATATTATTCACAATATATATAAAATCTATATTCAATATAGAAAACTGTTGCCTCTTAATTTGTTATAAAATGAAATAAAAATTAAAGCATTTATCAAATTAGTAAAATAACAATTTATAAAAATTATTTAAATTTGTAGCCTTGCTTAATATTTAAAGATGTTATTGTATCAAGTGATACTTGTGTTTAAGTACTTGCCTTAACTCAGGTGTAAAAAAGTTAGTATCATATATCGAAGTAAGTGAATTATTTATCTTTGTTATGAGACTATCTGCTCAAAATAAATTTCATATACTATATAATTACGTATTAAAATGGACAGCTTTCAATAACATAATCTATAAAAAGTTTAGGGTTGTTATTCTCACTTTAGACAGATTAGAAATTATAAGTATTCGTTGCAATAATAACCATAAGTTTGTAATAATTTTTGTATAATGGTGTTTTCATGTGAGGCAAAGAAAAATGGAAAAAGAGGCAATTCATTTGCCTGATTATAAATAAAGTTTGTTTATCAACTATTTTCTTTGTTTGTTAAACGATGAACCTTTATAGCACTGTATTAATGGTCAGACGTTACTTGTTTGTTAATAAATGACATTAATTGTGCCCCTTATGCAAAAACTATAAATGTGAAAGTTTATTTCTATGTGCATTTATAGTTTTGATATGAAAGGAACAATGTGTTAGTGTGTCATCATTTATTCACTTTAGATACTATTAGTATTTATTTCAAATAAATTTTTAAAATATTTTTGCTTTGATTCTATTAAACAACTACCACTTGTTTAAGTGTTACACATATTGAAAGCTTCTGTAATTCTACTAATTACTACTATGTAGTTTAATTATCAAGTTACAAAAATTTTGTTTTCTTTTTACTGCTTTTTTTCTCAAATAAGAAAGTAAAAAATGATGTATATTAATAATTTTGTTTCATTTAAATATACTTAATTGATATAGTAAATAATAATATCAACTATTATTTTTAATTAAGATTTATGATTTAAACAATTTTTTTTACTAAATGCAAATATTAATTAACTTAGTAAATTTTTCATTCCTTTGGCAATCCCTCCTTTGCTTATGCATTTATTACACTTGCTTATCCTATTTCTTTCACATTTTGTAACTTTAAATATTAAAAAAATATATATATATATATGTAGTGGAGTGATTTTTATTTATTGTGATAAAGTTTTTGTTGACTTAAAAGTTGATAAAAAGCTGTCCTTAGAAGCAACCAAGATTGACATTGAGAAACTCGCTAAGACTGATAAGAGAAGCAAAGCAAATCAGTCTGTATGGAAATGAAGGTAAAACAAAATATAGGTAATAAGCCGGAAATTCCACCCCAATAACAGGACCTGTGTATGAGAGAAATCGTTCCCGAGAGTAGATCATTAGCGTGGCTCTTCAATCCAGCATCATATCCTGGCTTCCTCTAGCAGCTTCTGCCAATTGTCTCACTCTCTTGCAGCCACTAACCAATTAATTATATAGCCTCACTATCTACTGAGTACCCGATAGTAGATAAATTCAGATACTTCACCACAATAACGGACCAATGGTCAGAAATAGTCCAGCATATAACAAGCGCAAAGAAAACTTATTTCCCTGTTTCAAAGGATTTGAAATCACATAAAATATCAAGAAATCTCAAATTAAGCCAGTTCTAACATACCGCTGTAAGACCTGGACAATAAATCAGAGCTCCTGAAAAAAGTATTATAAGATTTGAGAGAAAAATACTCCATACGATAATGAGGGACCAGTTATCAGAGTATTAATGCATGGAGAAGAACCAATAATGAACTGCATCCAGAAACTGGTCAATCAATATCTCATGATATGAAGACAAGGCGTTTAAGATGAGTAAGGAATGTAGCTCAGGGGAATCCATCAGAAAACCTCTACACAATACTGAATGAACTGGACAGGCATTGAGGCTGAAGCCACCTTAACGGAAAAATTATTCTTGTTTCATTGGTCCATATTTATTACTGTGATTTTTTAAATTATAATGAATACACAGCTACTAAATATAACCATATCTTATTAAAAAAAAAAAAATTATTGTAAAAATACTTTTCATGCAATTTTTTTTTTCTTAGCCAGAATGCAAAAATTATTTCATTTAGAGATTTAGTTTCTTTCTTCTCGGAAGCCCTCCCACAAAATTAAATCCTAGATCCACAACTGCCTCAAAGTAAGAACCTTATGTATATTATATTACATAAGGTTATTTTAATTATCCTCAATAAAATCATTTTTCCAATCTTAAAAAAAAAAGAAAAAACTAAATAATGGAGTTAGAGAAAAGTTATTAATATATGATAAAATATTGAACTAAAAATTTGAAGGAAGTTAGTAGACTGTTCTATTCTTTTAAAAAAAAAAGACTGTGTCCTGAATATCTATCAGCCATTAAAATTTGAAGCTTATTTTAGCAATGTTATACTCACAAGGTAAGTTTAATCAGTCTGTGACTACATCAAAAAATATTAGACACATTATGGTGTTCCTTCTGATGGACTCAGAGAAAAAAAAATCTGGTGCGCGCAACACACAACTTTCACTTACTCTTTGAACTTTGAATAAAAATTATTTTCTGGCCATGTTAGGCTATTATAAAATGTTTTAAATTGCATTTAAACTGAGCTAAAGCTAACAAATCACAAATGCTATTAAAATAACCAAAGTCCTATATATTATATCACCGTTGATTATGGATTGTATGATTCGTTGATTATGGATTGTTCGATCCATTGATTATGGATTGTCCGATCCATTGATTATGGATTGTACGACTATACGTCATTAAACTGTTATTTTCCATTGCAAAGTTTATTAAAACGGAATTAAGAGATTTGCAGTGTCCGTCATAGACAGGTCAAAAGTTGTCACACTAATCGTAAGTGGATTCTGTTGGAATATCGCAAAAAGAAAAATGATCAAACTATTCACTAATTTAATTTTCTAAAAGGTTACATGATGATTTTTCGGAATAAACGGACGATAGATATTTAAATATATTATGAGATCTAGAGTTATTAAACTACAGTAAATATATTTAGGGTTATAAACGTATCTATGAAATATTTTTGTATTTCACTTCTTTTTTCACACAAATACAATAAAATAGAAGTGGAATATCACAAAGGGAAGATCTATTGAATTATTCACTAATTTAGTTTTCTAAAAAGTTATATGACAATATTTTGGAATAAACTTTAATAAATAATTATTTAGAGAGAAATACTTTATTACAAGTAATGCTGCCCTACTACATAGGGTTGCTTCGTGCACAGCATACTTAATAAAACCATACGGAGATTAATTTTATATTATATTTTTCTTTTTTTTTTCTCTCCCTTCATAACAATACTCTTATAAATTATCAACAATAAACCATATTAAACAATAGACATAGCATAATAAACACTTTCCCAAAATAAATAAAAAAATTCCTTTTTTCTCTTTAATTTATTAAACGCCAGGAACGCAATACTACATCGCACACATATATAACACAGCAATTCCTTGAATGTAGCCACTAGCGGATCCAGGATTTAATTTTGGGGGGGGGCTTCAGCCCGAAACCTTTTTTTTTCATAAAAATAACGATAATTACTTTGGAAAAACAGAAAGAAACTAACTACCTCTATGAAATGGTGTTTAAGTTATTCCTTAAGTATTTTTAAATGTAATTACACGAACAATAATACTTTAAGAGGTATTTTTTAATTTTCTTTTCCCATAAAACATGGTTATATTTTTCCATTTTGGGGGGGGGGGGGCTTCAGCCCGAACATATACCATATACAACCATATACATATACAACCATAGACCATATACAACATTCCCAAAAAAGTGTATACTTTTTGAGTTATTCGGAAGTTAATTTTACCATCCCTCGTAACTTTTTTTCCAGCTTCTTTTCGCTGAAGTATGTTATATAGATAAATTTGAAGGGTGTCGAGAAAATGACTTTAGCGAAGTTTCAATGGAACCGGTACATTCGTTTAGGCGCTACTGTCTATAGCTAGGTTTTTCTGCATTTTTTTTCTCCTTTATTAACTTATCAAATTCTTTCAAAAGTTATATTTAGCAATTTTTCATAACTCTGAATAATGCGAAATAATTAACTTTTTAAAATAAACCATATTAAAGGTACTTTAGGGGAAGACGTATATGAACATTAGGCATTTAAGCCCTGTAGAGTGACATCAATGGGGATAAGACCTAATTGATATTAAAGACCACTTAATTATACAATGATACACCGAGTTTAATCAAAATCGTTAGAGCCGTATTTGAGAAAACTGTGAAAATGTGTTTCAGTGTTGATATAAAGTGGCACTTCCGGTTAGCCGATTTTAAGGAAAAA